CTTTTTACATCCTCCTCTCATCTCCTCTCCAGATTCCTCTCCCACCTCCTCTCCTCTCCTCTCCTCTCCTCCCCTCTCATCTCCTGCTCCTTCTCCTCTCCTTTCCTTGTTCCTCTCCAACTTCCTCTCCTCTCCTCTTGATTCTTTCCTCTCCTGGTTCCATTTCTCCTCTCCTTCCGTCTCTTCTCTTCCCCTCTCCTAGCTCCTTTCACAATTCCTCTCCTTGAGACCTTCTTGAATCCTCCGGAGGCCTTTTACAGTACAGTACTTTGAACCGCAGTTGCATGGCCCAACTTCTGCCTTTAAAATAATCAGAAATCTCCAGAAATCCAAACATGTTTGGCCTTGATAGTCCAGCATGTTTCCTTGTATTATGCAAGCACAGCAAATTGGTGATAAATCAAGCAGAGCGCTCCGTCTGTCTACCCCAGGCCTTTGTATTTTTGTCATTATGAGCAGCAACGCTTCTCTTCCTTTTATTCACTGTAGGGGTAATAATGGCTGACAGTGTGGAAAGCGTCCTCCACCTCCCTAACTCCCTACCATGAGCTTTCCTCATCCCTTCCAACCAAGCCAGTAATGGGCACGCATAATGAGGCCGAGAGAGCCGGTAATGCTTCCCACATTTGGTGCCCACGAATGGGACTTAGTGTTACAGCGTTAAACCGCAGCGTGCGGCATCGAGCCGAGGGCGTAATACTCACTTAATCCCCAGCTGCCATGCCTGGTTAATTCCATAGATATCGTCTCCATTAGTCCTGAGGAGGGAGGGCCCCAGCTGGGAGGGCCGGGATGGCTCTGCAGCTGTCAGCATGGTCTCCTCTGGTTGGGCCGCGGGCCCCTAGACAGTGGCCCTCACTGCACCGGGGCCTCGCAACAGGTGGTTTGACCGAGCCTGCAGCTTCCCCGCACTTTCCGCACAAAATAAAGTTTGATTGGAGGGAAAATGGCAGTTATTTTTTATTCCTCTCTGTGTTGTCATCTCAGTGATCGCCTACGCGTGACGTCTGGAAGACCTGATGCTTGTATTGTTCTCAGGCTTCTCCTCTTTCAGACAACCACTGGCAAATGAACGACCTGAGTCTTTTTGAGTCATCTGTTATTTTTTTTATGAACATTTGTCTTACTGTACTCTACTTTTTTTTTCTTTTACAGTTGTAGCCATTTCTTTTACAGATGTGCTATCGTAGTAATTCACAGGATGTTAGTGTCCGAGTGGGCAGTTTGTATTCACAGTTTGCAGAGGCCTCCGGGCGCTTTCTTTACACACACGCTGAATTTCCTACGTGGCTGTAAGATATTATCACACTGGAAAATGGGCTTGCAGGACTGCTGGCGACTTCCAAGCAATTGTGTGTGTGAGTCTGTGTGTGTGTGTGTGTGTGTGTGTGTGTGTGTGTGTGTGTGTGTGTGTGTGTGTGTGTCACAGCTTGTGTTTACACTGTGTTAAATATGCTCATCTTTTTCTTTTTTTTTCCTCCTCTTTTTTCATGTTTCTGTTTCACTGAAATGAATCAAAGTGTCTGTATGTGTTTGTGAGCAGAGAGAGAGATTGAGAGAAAATGTGTGTGTGTGTGTGTGTGTGTGTGTGTGTGTGTGTGTGTGCGTGTGTGTGTGTGTGTGTGTGTGTGTGTGTGTGTGTGTGTGTGTGTGTGTGTGTGTGTGTGCGTGTGTGTGTGTGCGTGTGTGTGTGTGTGTGTGTGTGTGTGCGTACAAGCACATACAAGTTTTCGGTTGCAGTTCTGGCAATTACCCAGTCACGGCCTGGTGCACACCATTATGAGGTGCGTGTGTGTGAGAGAGACTTAAGCAAGGAAACTTTAACTCCAAATTCCTGGACACTCAGCGCTCCTTTGCTGAAAAACACTGCCACTACTCAGCTCTCATTCCAGGGAAATTCAAAACAGAGCTATTGTCAACAAATTAGATTTTGACCTGTCAAACCATTAGAAGAGGTACTGGATCTCGGTGCCACAAGTATCATACATTCCTTTTCTACTTGTAACCCTCATGCTTGGATCATCCTGTGACAAACATGTTGGTGTTCCAACATAACTGAGGCTTTTCATGACAAACAGGCAGGCTTTCTTCATTCAAACAAGACGGGAATCATTCCTTAATTCTGGATCAAATTAATTTCCATCCCCACTGTCAAACTAAGTCTCCATTGGTGCTGAAGAGGAGATGGTTGGGGGGGGGGGGGTTGCTGCCCGCTGATACAGGAGGCTTTTATTTATTTTCATTTAGATTAATTTATTTGGAAGATGCTTTTATTCAAAACAACTCACAAGTCACTAAAGCTTCAGTGCAGCAGGAGACCTTGGTGTGGGCACTACATATACAGTACTACATGTAATAAAGTGCAAGGAGATCAGATAAAGAAGTGCACTGAAAAGAAGTGCATAGGAAGTGCTAGTTAGGCCTGGAACACACTGGATGCGTGGCGTGTGCCACGGCTGCGTCACATGATCTACGGATTCGGCGTCTAGCAGAAACAGACAGAGAAAAGACCTGATGATGTCATATCCACATCATACCAGCAATATAACATAAAACTGACACCTTCCACTACAGTTGTCTACATTTTTAAAGCAGAAGACCATTTGAGCAAAGATGCAGAAGATTTCAGAGATCAAAATGGCGAAAGAATTTGACTGTAGCCCAAGCCGTTTTTCAGGAAACATTATTATAGCGCCACCTTTCGGACAATTAGTTTCACTTTTAGTCCCTGAGAAGTGAGTGATATTTGCAACCATTCGCTGCTGGGACCCCTAATGAAAAGAAATCTGACACTCCAATAAGCTTGAAACTCTATGCAGACAGATAGAGCTGACAGTGGCAGAGACGCAGCCGGTGTGAACACACACAAGCGTGCGAGCTGCAGCAGATCAGCAATGCAGCCACCACGCACATGCAACGCAGGCAGTGTGTTCCCCGCCATTAGGCCTGTTAAGGTGTTAGAGGTGTTGGGAGAGGAGGAGCTCTCGGAAGAGATGAGAGATGAGACTTAAAGAGATTCTTGAAGATAGAGAGGGACATCCCTGCTCTGATAGCATTCCACATTGGCTACCATCCTTTCCATCATTTGGATCGCACTCTCCGGGAGGGTTTAAGTGAATTTGAGGGATACTAGATTACTGAGGAACCGAAGCTCTGTGCACCTGCTCTACAGTACAGTGTGGAAAGTAGCAGAGAGAGCTTTTGGTCTGAGCCAATGAGATGGCAGCTTGTCAGACTCCCAAGACAGATAGAATTAATGACTTTCATAGTATTACTTAAAGCCCAATTAGCCAGCAGTGTGTTTATATCCTGATAAATGTCTGACCACTGTGGGTCGTTGGTTGTTGAACTTTCAGAAAATTGACGTCTCGCTTTCAGTGGAATAGCATTAACATTATACTCTCACTGTTTATTGTAATGATGTCAACCCCTGTGGATATTGGTTACAGTTTGATATCTTTACAGGAGAAATGCAGATGAGTGGCGTATGCTTTCCACTGTGTGGCAGAGGGTAATACTCCCCCGGGGTGGGGGTGGGGGGGTGCTGAATGAGTAGATTAACCACAGGAGGAATGGCACAGACAACGTAAGCCGCAGCTTGCCCACAGTGGAACAAAGTCTGCCCTCAATGTTCAATGTAACACTATATTCGGCGCTCGGGCACGTGTGTACACTCATACATATACACAAGTCCATGCAAAAACATTATTATTGTGCTCCAGTGACTTACAGTGTGTTTCATTTGTAACTCATCACAGGCCCGTTGCTCCGTCCCTTATTAAGGGACTGTTTGGAAAAGAACAAGCTGAGAAGAATGCAGACTCTCTCTCTTTGCTGCATGTCTGCACAGCCCCGCAGTGGTTTGAAAATGTTGTGGAAAGTATTAAGGGGGGGCGGTTATCAGGAGTTGTGTCAACTCCTGATTCTCCTCTCAGTCCATAATTTTCATGCTGCCTTAATCTCACTCTGGCATCTTGCGTCGAATTTTTGAGTTCATTAATTACCGATTAAGTGAAATAATGAAGAAAGAAAGCTGAAAATAACCATGACCCAGCGCAGAAATAGGATATTACACATCCTGGGTTCTGGAGATTTACCTCTTCTTTTAGTTTCAACCAACATCTGTCATAGATATGAAACTGTAGTCCTCAAATTAGGGGTAAATTCCTCCTTTTGATACTGTTGTAGATCATCAGATCCAGGCGTGTGCGCTCTCCATTGGTATGTCGGTATGTTAAGAAGCCAGTCCGAGGACACGGCACACACCATAAACCAATCGGAGATGACAACTGTTGTAAAGTGTCCCGTACACATGAGGAAACTGTTCTCTACACTAAATGACACACACATACAGTATATAGTCCTGGCACATACTGTACATACCCTACCACTATCTAAAATTGCAATGTGAATGAAGTGCAAATCATAGCCTGACAGTGATGTGAACAACCATTAACCAACCACCTTACATGATAAGAACTTCTACTTTCTGAACAGAAATCTGACTGCAGAAACCACGAGTATGAATCCTTCCCACCTTTATTAAAACTGCAACATACTGTAGCTGTTAGTCCTGCAACCTCACCACAGTCCTCAGGAGATACAGTATGTGCACGCACAAAAGAAGAAAAAAAAAACATCTATTACATGTCACCAGGGGAAAATATGAATAAAGTGTTTGAGCGTGATATCCAGGGAAACTGTTTGGCCGAGCTTTAGGCGGTACTTCTTTCACCTACAGCAAAGATAGCTGTCATAAAACTGAGCTGCACAATACAATATTAGGTATTGGACATCGAGCTGCGTGGAGGTGTTTGCCAAGACGCTGAAACGACCATAAATCGAATTGCACAGCTGCAGGCTTATGTGTACGTACAGTCGCGTTGGAAATCACACACCCTCATAGACACACGTGCTGACACAAACTTTTTTGTGTGTGTGTATCTCGTAGATTAATGTGTTTCTCTCCGTCTCCTCTGTTGTTTCATCATGACCTCCAGCTGGGTTCAGGAGAAGCTTCCGTCTCAGCAGGAGAGACAAGAAGACCAACAAGTCCATGTACGAGTGTAAGAAGAGCGAAATGTATGACATGGCTGACGTTCCCACGTACGAGGAGGTCACCCCATACCGCAGGCAGAGCGGGGGTAAACACCGGCTGGTGGTCCTAGTAGGTGAGTAGAGAGCAGAACTTACCTCACCCTTTGTTTTTTGAGTTTCAGCCGCCTCTGTTTCTGTGAAACCTGGCACTGAAGAGACCATAGATTTTAATAAAGATTCTCACCTTCCAGCATGGTGACAGATACAGATCACAGAAACGACTCTGTGACTCAGAGCTCTGCCGCTCCAGAAGCCCCAGGTGGCCCGGCCTTGCCCTCCCATGACCCCCATCCCAGAAATGAGCTTCCCAACGCGGGGACTCTGTCACAATCATCCTGGACCTCCTTAGTTCAGACTTTTTAGCACTGGATGGAATCGACGGAGCAGACCTCATATTAATCAGTCAGTTTTAATACTTTCATTTACGGCACCTCACTTTCAATGTCCCTTCAATTTTTCAAGCTGATGGAATTGTTAACACTCGCCTGAGGAGCGGGTGTTACAAAGCCCTCCAGAAAGCTTTATAACGTGCCAAGGTCTTGAAATGAATTTAGCGGTTTCTCATTCTGTATTTTGTGGCTGGAAGACGAGTGTTGCCAGTGAATGGTGGAGCTACGTGCCGGGCCAGGTGCGACAGTAAAGACTTCAATATTTCTTGGGACCAACTGTACCATCAGTGAGTTCTAGGCTTTTCCACATTTTCCTTTTTAGGTTTGTTACTTGTAGCAAAAAAATGACAAGAATGTCCCAGACACAGATGGAACAAAACATTCCCTAAATCTTCAGTGTGATTCCTTCCAATCTATTTCCATTCATCAATGAGGACTCAAAAGTCTGTCTTCAGCTTTTCATTTCAGATATTCCAACAGCAGTTTTTAAGCATTTGTGAGTTGAATCTAGAAATGAATACCACTGGCAACAAGGTCTCACTCTTTTTTGTTTTTTTTTTTGAGTGGTGTTCCTAGCCTGATTAACCAGGCCTTGGTTCACTTAAATACACCACACAGAGCATGGACTTCATCAGGCATGTTGCTAATTAGCGAGCCCGTTTCCCTGCCAGTGTGTCACAGCCTCACACAGAGGATGCTGAACCTCTCCCACCTGTCATGCTAATGTAAATATTTTCAATTAACTTCCAGAATTTTGGAGGACAACCTATGGACAATTTCAGACGTAACGAAGCGGAGGGCCAAGGAAAGATCTGCTTTATGTTTCCCTGCCTCCCTCACTCCTTCCTCATCTCCCCTGAGTCTCTTGATTTTTCTTATTAGAAATCTTTTCTGTCCAACTCTTTTCTCTCTGACTGCTCTTGCTTTTCTCTGTTATTCAGGCACACGTTATTTCTCAATAAAAGTGTTTTCAGATCACTTTCCACGAGAAGTATCTGCTCTTAAAACAGCTTCAGACCTGTACTCTGACCGCTCTCAATCCCAGCCATTGATCATTTGCAGCAGTTTACCGTGATAATAACGGCTGATACGCACTCTCCTGCCTGCAGCTAGTTCAGAATGAAGCAGCTCCGCTTCTTACTGGTTTTAACAGACGACATCACATCACCCCGATCCTCGCTTCCCTCCCTGAACTCCTTTTAAGATTTTAACCCCATACGAGCCAGTTCGCAGCCGTAGATTCTCGGGTGGGCGCCTTCTGGCCGTTCCAAAGTCGAGGCTTAAATCTAAAGTTGACAGTGCTTTTGCCCTCGGGATCCCTCGACTTTAGAACGACTTCTTTTAAATCACTTCTAAAAACCCATTTTTATAGACTTGCTTTTTTATGATGTCGTCTTTTTATCATTTCTTTATTATCCTTTTATTGCTTTTATATGGCATCTACTCTGTCTAATTTACCTTATTTATACTGAAGTATATTGTATATCTTCCCTCGTTAACTTTACCTTCTGTCCTGCTTTTGTTTGGCCTTCAGCTCTGTTGTTATATTGCCTTCTGAACCTCTGTTACTTTTACTTCGATTGTCAATGAACTTAATGAACTCTTTTTTTTTTTTTCAAAGGCGCTATACAAATTAATATTATAAATATACAATTGAAATTCTTAATGATAACAGGGGATAGTTGATTTCAGACAGAGGTTGACAAAAGTAGGCGTCTCATTTATAACAGGTGACGCTTTTGTCGGTTTAAATGACAACTGTCACTAGCAGATTTGATCAGCTGTACTTCAGAGAAGAAGAAGGAAAGTCTGCGTTATTGTAGGACTTGCAGACGGGACCGAACTCTCTCCGTGCCTGACTTGGCCTCAGTCCTGTACTTTTTCCGCTCTGCTCCAGCCTTTCCCCCCAATATTATTTTTATATCAAACATCTCCCGCTCCTAAAGCCTAAAGGCGTTTTTCATTAATGTGGACGCACAGGTTCACGGTACCAACTAATGAATGACCCGCTGCCCACCTCTTGCATTTTAATGGAGTCTGAGATCTGTTTCAAAAACAAATCAAGATGCTTATCTGGGTTTTTTATACTTTTTATAACATCAGACAGCCAGTAAAAACATATTTTTACATACTGCATGAACAGTTTGACCCAACCGCTGGTGGTTGTGAAAGAAATCAGATTATTTAACTTGACAAAATGGCGTGCTGATTTCCACATTTCCGTGTAACTTGACCCTCTGAACTTGCAGTAAGATTTTGATGAATTGAAAGTTTTTAGTTTGGGGTTTAGCCCTAACATATTTCAAATACACTAATGCCTAAGTGAATGTTTATGTGGTATCCAAATATATAAAATTGGAACTCTATATTAAGACTGTTGAAAATGTAGTAGATTGTAAATGATCTGTGGTTACCACATTGCACCACTGTCATCCTTTAAATGTGGTAGCAGCGAAGCTCTGTAATATCGCCTGCCCTGGATGTGGGGCAGGCTGGGAGGTTTGAGGCTGGGTCGAGGCACCGGGGGCCCTGAGCTCGGCCTCGTCGGGCCTGGCCTCGTCCTCTCTGTGCAGACTGCATTCGATGCGCTCCACATTTGGCCTGGAAGTTATTAAGCTTGCGATATTAAAGGCAGCTTCTCTAATGAGTGTGGTAATGAAGTCTGACACTTTTACTGGCACAGCGATCTGTAAGGCCAGAAGTACCGCGAGAGAGAGACAGATGGAGGGAGAAAAAAAACACATAAATATAATGTAAATACTGCAGCTTAGTCCAGAAAATTTGGGAGTTCTGCCTGTTTTTATTGTGGCGTTCAGATTTATACTGTTGCTGTTGTATTGGGGCATTGTTAAAAACAAACAATGCACAATGAGGTGGCGTGTTTAAGGTCAGACGGTGGAACAGGGCCAGAGTGCGCTGCTTCTGCTTGTAAAATACCTGATGGTGGGCCTGTCGGGCCCCCTTGGCAGGCGGTGGTACAGCTGGAATCAGCTTTAATCGTCGTCTGAGGTATTCTGAAGAAGGCCGGCTGCCATGCACCATTGATATCGCAAGTGGCAAGCAAGGGAGCGATGTACAAGGTGAAAATGGTTTTACGAGCGTGCAGAAGTGGGGCCGTTAGTCGGTCCCCTGTGCTCGGGCCCTGATGTCCACGGTCAGATTTAAGCAAACAAGCCTGCTTGGAGGTTTGTGGCCTGCCAGGCGGACTGTCTGCACCCCTGTGATAGGGCTCATAAAAGCGCCTCTATTACCACGCTCTGCCACCTTCAGCACCTACAACAACATTGGTCCACGGCCTTGTTCAAACAGCACCGCTGCATTCCTCCCGAGCTCCCGAAACAAATTCAAAATGAACTCCATTTCCTCATCTTAATAAATCACCCGAGCTCTCAACCCCCAGGTTCTTTTACTGAAAAAGTCCCTCTCCCCCTGCTAAGATTGATTGCTGTCTTCGCTTGGCCATGTGCTTGTTTATGTGAGACAGTTACCACAGAATGCCTCGTGCCGTCGCTCTAAAGAGGGTCAGGGTATTTTTCTCTTTTTTTTTTTTTTTTTGTCCTTTTGAATTCACAGTCGGGCTTGTGTGTGAGGCACTGAGGAAACAGCTTTTATCACTTACAGCAGTCGCACAATAGGACTCAAAACCATGTGTTACTGGGTGCAGAAGGAGAGGGAACGCATGGGGTGTGAATTGGTGTGTAAAGCAGAGGTTATGCTGAAACAGCCTTGTTGTCCACACCTATTTATCCAGTTGTGGATCACCCCAAAACCTTCACGCTCAAATAAAATGTATAGAAAGAGCGCAGATAGCACACGAGGAAACAGGAGCACTCTCTCTCATAAAAATACAGAGCTTGTCTTTTTTAAATATTTTTTTTTTCCCTCTCTTTCCACCTAATCCGCATCACTGAGTGAACTCATTGTCCATTTGTTTTAGACGAGCGGCCTGCTAAACACATTTGCCTGGAGAAACAAATTTCCAATAGGGTTCGATGCGATTGTAGTGCCTGCCCAGAACGTCAGGCATGCGAAGAATGTCAAGCCCAGATCAAGCGCTGTCTCTAACTGTCCACACGCTGCAGAGCTGCGGTAAAACACTGAGACGCAGATCCATGCACTTGTAACTCCAAAACTGATTTCTTGTCCGGACCATTGATGACGGTGATGCCAGTCGGTTCAAATCAGGATGATGTAGCACCGAAAAACCAAAACACTGGAGGGTGGCTTTCAGAGACAGAGGGAAAACAGGAAAGAAAGAGAGAGTGACTTCCATCAAATCGAAACCAGTGTAAACAAGGTTACGTAAAAAAAAAAAATTCTACTAACTGCATTTTGCATGAAATAAGGATCGACATAGGTTTATGAGATATTTGCTCAAACCAGTTTTGCAAATTTTCTTTGTTCCTTAATATCTAAATTGAATTTATTTCCTCAGTTTGATTGAACTTTACCGTCTCCACATGTTGGCCTCTGCTGAGTGCCAGAGGGATGCTCAGCCTCTGGAGCCACGGATGCATCAATAGTCAATACTCCAATAGTTTCTCCTGCCTTCTCCTCTCCCACTCGTTGCCTCAGTTTCCCCACTGGGAATGTGATGGAAAATCCAGCTGACTTGCATCAGTGCGGGAAGAGACTCTCTTGCCTTCACTGTGAACTTATATTGGAAGTTTAATGTTCTGCCAAACTACAGTGTGAGAGGAACCGGTTAAAAACTAACTGTAACTGTAGAGTTCCTGTAGCTTTGTCATATTAAATCAATTATCTTTGCTCCAAAGGCTTTCACCAGGTTGATTGTGTTTTAATTTAATTTGAAATGAAATTCACCCTGTGGTAAATTGATCAAAAACACTGACAGACAAGGTGCAGGTGCATTGTTGTAATTTACAGTCTTATTTACTTTTGTTTTAAAGGAACAAACCACTCATTTCACTCGCCATGAGTCCTCTTCAACATGTGAAAATTTATAATTTAATGTACTCTGCGACCCAGATGATGTCATCTGAGTTACTGTCCTGTTTATGGACTTGGGCTTGAAACTAACAGAAAGCCTGTGTTATAAACTAGGTTTGTGTTTGCTGTGCAGGGAGGGTCTTAACTGGAAGATCCTGTCAAGTTGTATTACATTGAGTGTTTCTGGAGAGTGAGACGTTCTAGAGACCTAAAAGCCAAGATATCTTTTGAGCCTCTCTTTTTGTGTCTTGTGATACCTTCAGCTTCATGGAAGTACAATACTGGATTGCTTAAATATATTGACAATATGTTGATGCATGATGAATCTGTTAAAATGCTGATGATAACGTTTAGTATATTAAATGTGATTATAGGCACATAAAAACATGATTTGTTCTTTTTCTCACCTAAATTGTGGCGAAGACGAGAGGACCTTCAGCTCTGGCTCGCTCAGAGGGAGGTGGTGATGGATTCTGAGACTTGTGACATTTTCCTGTGTTTCTGTGTTTGTGTAGGACCCACAGGTGTCGGCTTGAACGAGCTTAAGAGGAAGCTGTTGATCACCGACGCTCAACACTTCAGTGTGACCATCCCACGTAAGTTCACTCATGTCACCGAGTTAAACCCTGTTCGTGCCTGTGGTCAAATCCAGCATTCTACTGTGTGTATGTGCTCGTCTTACGTGTGTGTGTGTGTGTGTGTGTGTGTGTGTGTTTCCACCGTAATCTTTTTACTAGATCAGTTTTAGATCTGATAGTTATTGGCCAATAGATTTTAATGTGAATGAAGACACCGTTTGACCTTCTCCACTTGGTGCCAGATTCAGAAAACAACTGTGAGATTGGCTCGATGTGATTATCCTGACAAAACTTAACCTCCTTTAAAGATAATTCAAGGACATTTTCATTAAAATATAGATCATTAAAATTCTACTTAAAAGATATATAAAGTCGGTCAGGGAATCAAATTATCCCCCAAAAACCGAATGTCACATCTTGATTTTCTCATCCTCCAATCCAGTGGTTCCCAACCTGTGGGTCATGGTGCACTGCTGGGCCGTAAAGGTATTGCAAGTGGGCCGACAAATGTTTTAAAGCAAAATGATTTATTTTTTTTCTTATATTAAGCTTGATCACTGTCATAAGCCATTGGTTTATGATAGGAAGCTTTACTTGTTTGCTATCGATATCAGATGGATAGCTGTTTAGCAATAGGAAGAATAAAAAGGAAAGAGCCAAGAGACAGATGGTGAATCGACAAGTGATCAAACAAAAAAAAAAAGAATTGAGCTTCCCCTGCTCTCAGTTCACTCCTGAATGTTCAGTTGTTGTCATTAAAATAAAAAGTGCTCTGAGAACGTGGTCGGTGTGGGCTGCCAACATTTAGAGATTGAAGTGGGCCTTGAGTTGGAAAAGGTTGGGAACCGCTGATCAATTCTAGGAAGAAGGGAGAGCAGTGGACACTTTTTCTTTACTTTCCAAGATCTGGTTTCTTTTTACTGCAGAAAAAGGTGAAATATTGAAACAAAAACTTTTACAACCAAGTTCTAGAGTTCACCAGTATTTTCCAGGTGAAAACAACAACATCAAGGTGTTTCTGAAGATTCAATAAGCAAAAAGAACAAATTGCCTTTAAGTCTATAGCATTTTCATCATTGATGTTTGTTACCTGAGGAAGGACCCCCCCCCTCAAACATGAAGCAACTGACACTGCAGCCGTCCCATCGGGTGGATCTCACACCTCCCTCTCAGATCTTCTGAATCCATTTGTACCCGTGAAGCCTCTCGTACATCTGTCCACCCAGACAAACACATTGGAAACACATTCACAGAGAAATGTAAGCGCACAAGATGCCAGATCAAATTCCGACTGCACTGCGCTCCAGTGCACCCTGTGAGTTTTTAGCAACAAATCAAAATAATCACTTCAGGTGAAGGATGTTTAGCTTACTTGTTCCAGTTAAGTTTTCACAGCGTGTGACAGTGCTTGTGCCGCCTGAGCGATGAAGGCTCGGTCTGAGACGCACGCCGACACACAGGCAGCAGATCTCAGGCAGCGCGGCTGGTACTGTCAAGGCCTGGGCACTTGGTTCTCCTCCTGTGTAATTGTCAGCTTTTCACAGGCCGCCTGACAAGCTCCAAATGATGGAGGAAATGGCGTTTTTCTACCTCTGAAGACATGCCATTCCACTGCTTCACAAATTGGCACCAAGCTACTCTTTCTCCTTTCTCTCTCAATTTATTTCTCACTTTCTTTCTGTCTTTTTCTGTCTCTTTTTCCCACTCTGTCGCCTCCCTTTTTCTCCTTTTACGGACCTAACGACAGCCTGCCATAACTCTGAACACCATCCAGCCCTGCTGCAAACGACTGGCTCTCCACACTTTGCCAGCATTTTTTAGGTTTTTGCAGCTCTGAGATGTCCCACAGCCAGCATGTTGGGACAAATAAATCTTTCTGATTTATACATTTAAGCACGGCAGTGGCATTAGTCCTTGTGTAGTTACCATCTGGGGCTTGGAGGGAAAGTGCGACACGAGTTTTGAGGAAATATGAGGTCCGCTGATATTAATTGCCGTGTTTGTTACATGCCGTGCGGCATAATGGATGTGTCCCAGTCAAAGTCTGACACTTGAAATGTCCCTGGTATTAAAATCCCATCGGTGGGGCCTTTTTTTCCACAAGGCCTGTTAATTGCTCTCAAATGTGACCTGTGATGCTGTGTTTAATAGAGCCCAGACAGTCTGATTCTGACCCATATAGAAGACGTATGGCACAAGTGCTGGCTCTCATTGAGAGGAAAGAGACTCGGAAAGTATCTCATCTCCCTCCTTTTTAATGTTTGATTGCTGCCAGTGGACACATGGATGTGTTTAACACTTGCTGTTGTTTCGGATTAAGCCCAAAAGCATTACCCCTTTTTGTTAATTTGAAAACCGGAGCTGGGGAGACCACCGGCTTGTGGCCCTGGTTAAGCCTTGGTTTTTTCTCTCTCTCTCTCTCTCTCTGTCTCTCTATCTCTCTCTCTCTCTCTCTTTCTACTTGTCGCTGTAAAATGTAAACCAGTCGTCTAAGAAACTCAAGGAGCATTGCAATAAGCCATTAGAGTAGGGGGTTAAACATTTTGATTCCAGTCCAAGCTGACTGATATTTTCCATGAATTGAGAATGAACGGATGCACATTCTTTTGTTGCACTGTAATTATTTTCTGTGCCACAAAGCAGATGCCAAAATAATGCATGGTGGATGGTGTTGGTGTAACTACGGAGAGGCCGTTTGGCACCGTGTCTTACACGTTTCTGAACGGGGAGGTATAAGTATATGTTATCTTATGACATGGCTGCTCGGGCCTTCTCCTGTTTTTCCTACTGTTGTCTGAGGCTGATGACAGAAAGTCATTGATCTTCTTCACTGTCTTCTCCACAACGGTTGGATTTATGGCCGTCTCTCCTTCTCAAGCGAGTGACACATTGTATAAATCACACCATTGGTTTTCCATGAACCCTGTACATCAGTATGGACCATATAAAACAAAGGCACCGGTCCACTACGAGGGCACAGCCTCAACACATGCTGACGAAAAAGAAAGACTCAGAGGAGAGGAAAGCAGAACTTGGCAGTTTTGTTTGCAGGTGATAAAAGTTTAATAGTTTGTTTTGGAGCTGGTCGGAGTGTCTGACGGGTGTACACCTCTCCCCTCTGACCTTTGAAGCGTTCCTGAAACGAGCCGGAGTGCGAGTCGACCTCTTGGCCCTTACAAATCCACCAGCGCGCTCACGTTCTCTCTCCAAGTGCCCCCCCCCCCCCCCCGCCCCCGCCCCCGCCCTCGCCCTTTTTACAGCAAGGTTTTATGGTTTACGGCCAAGTAAATGTAGAGACTTGATGTTAATGAGAGCTCCCAAACTCAATTACCTTGCAGCGGCTAGCACTGCCGGCTAACGCCACAGCTTCTGTTCCTACAGGCTCTGCAGCCACATTACAAGAGACAAATTTAATAAGACACAGTAAACCTCTGCTGAATGTCAGTTTAGTGTCTGAGTTTAGTGCTGTAGCTCTACAGGTTGTGTATTTTATAGCGCTATTACACAATAATATATACAAGGGTTGGCATGGCCCAGCACGCTATGTTTCAGACTTCCAGCGATGTTAATAAGGGGCTCAGTTCAGATGGTTTCAGCCTCAACAGTGAGTCAGACAGTCTGGGTTTGAGGTAATCACTCTCTCTCTCTCTCTCTCTCTTCTCTCAGACACGAGTCGGGCCAAGAGGAACCAGGAGAGCGACGGCGTGGAGTACCACTTCATCTCCAAGAACCTTTTTGAGACGGACATCCACAACAACAAGTAGGTACCACAGTGACTGGTATAAGAGAAGGAGAAAAAATAAACTGGTGACACAACCAACACATGCACAAAGACAGGCACAGTGGACACACACCACAGACATTAATGATAACAATGTTTACAACTTTAAGAGCCTTAAAACTGCAGGTGCTCCACTTTGTGAACAATAAATCTCTAGTGTAGACAGGCTGCACACAGCAAAGTTTAAACAAGAGAAAATAAGGTCACACAACTCTTCTTCCATATGTTGTGATTATTCCCCCGCTCTGCAAATACTTCCATTTTTACCAAGTATCTTCTCTGTCTCACTGAGTCTTCTTCCCTCCTTTTCTTCATTTACAATACAAACACAAAATGTGCAATGTGTGTAATGTGTTGAACTGTCGCAGGTTTTGATAATTATGCCAGAGCCAGACCAGGAGTCAATGAAAGACAGAAATGACTTGGCGAGAGGAAAATTTTCTTTTCAGTTAGACTGCCTTTTTCATGAAGTCATAAAGTTGATTCCAGTTCATCTTAAATACTAATTTCTTAATAATGGGACTTTACTATTTCACACAATGGACTAATAAAGGCAGTGTAAGGGAAAATAAATTCTAGACATGTTTAATTGGAGATATTTCATAATATTTCAAGAATAAAGTCCCATTTTACGAGAAAAAGACATGATGCTCTGAGAATAAAGTCTGACTGATGTGGGATGAAATAAGTGGGTTTTAATTTCAAGAACAAAATGTCGCATATGAACATGAGCTGATCTCTGCACTCCCTGGCTCAGCTGTCCAACAAGCAGGTGTCCAGCTGATGCTTTTTTTGTTTAAAGACTTCATTTGATTTCTAGTGTCTTAAAATCTGTAATAAGGGGGCGTCGAGTGGCGCAGTGGGTTGAGCAGGCGCCCCATATGTAGAGGCTACAGTCCTCGCTGCAGTCGGCCCCGGTTCGAATCCCGCATCGGACGGCCCTTTACTGCATGTCATTCCCCCTCTCTCTGCCTCCCCATTTCCTGTCTCTCTCTACTGTGCTATCATAAAGGCATAAAAAGCCCCAAAAAAAAAAAAATCTATAATAAGATGCTTATTGTTGAAATCTATCCACAACCTTCACGTGACACATAAACTGAACAGATTGCTCTCGTGTGTTTACTACGATGGAGGAAACATCCCATAATATTTAGACTTTATTCTGGAAATAATAGGACTTTTTCTTCCCCCTAGAGTGTTGACTATTTTCACATTCCAGTATTATGACTCTTTCTTGTGAACTTACAACTTCATTCCTGTAACATTACTTCTTCAATCAACTTCTTCTCCAAATGTTTTGCATTTATTCTCAAAATTTCAATGTGTTTTTCTCTTACAGTGGCCGTAATACTCAGCCAGTAAAATAATGATGACAGAAAAATATTATTTTCTGTAATTGTTATGTCAGAAAATGTCGGAAAATAGTGACAAAAATCCATTGCACTTTGCAAGACACTGGGCATATGTGTTCATATTCCAGCCAACACTCCAAAACCCAAAGATATTCAAATTACAGTGATTTAAAAACAGAATAAACATTGCATTTTTGCTTGATGAGTTTTTACTTCAGCTAATTAATTAATGAACTAATCTTTCAATGCTAATCACATTAGAAGAAATGACATGTTTTCCAATCACATGCATGTGATGTTTAATGTGGTCTTTTGGTATTTCAAAGTTTAATGAAAAACCTTGTGTTTAAATATGTGACATTTGAGAACCTTCACCCTAATGAAAACAACAGAATCCCTCTCTGTGTGTGAACCACTAGAGGCAGTGCAGCAGTCTGACTGGTCCAGGACTTGCTGCCACTGTTCATACACAGCCTCCCCGCTGTCGTCTGTGTGTCTCTGTAACCGAGTGTGAGCTGGTGTTGACAGGGCCGGGCCCTGTGTCGGTAACAGATCTCCAGACACTGGCCCCGAGGTCTCCTGTCTCTGCTTCCTCCCTTCCTCAGGCGCTCTCTGTGAATGCAGCCACACCACGGCCCGCCTTGACATTTGTGGCCAACAAATTGAAATCCAAGTTGTAATAGTCATAGGAATGATTGATGCCTTTTCTGCTGGTCTCACACAAGCTGGAGGGGGAGGAAGAAAAAAAAAGATGTATAGTATGGTGCACATGCAAAACATTTACTCACGCAAACACATATGACATAGAAGGAAGTGTGCTGGTGAGTGCATACTGAGTGTCGGAGCATGCAGGGAGAAGAAGGGAAAGGGGTCTGTATATTTAGGCCATGTTGCGGTGCAGGTCGAGGCATGCAATGTTTTTCAGGGAGTCGGAGGGGTGAGTGGCAGGGCTGTGATGTGGGGTGGATGCGTGGGACACTCCACGCTGAAATTACAAGGCAGCGAAGTAGGCGAAGGGTGAGATGAACTTGTTTGCGTTATGCCTCATTGCATGCAGCAGAAACAATGCGCAGAAATAAAAGGTCTGTGAACTGGGGCCACAACAACGTGTGTTTAGCTTTCCCAAGGGAAGCCCTGTTCGGTGTCAAAATGGCAACAATCCATACTCTTAATATAGACTAAGCTCCACTGGCATGCTTTGCTGTGATCTATATACCTTCTCCTCTGGTGTCAAACGGCACAGAACGCTGCTGCAAGGTGTGAGTTTTTAAACACAGACTTCTGTAATCTCTTAAATGAATTTCCCATAACGGAATATGAGGTTTGTTGAGATTTAAACCTGCCTTTAAAAAAAAAAAGAAAAGAAAAAAAAAAGAAGCTGAGTAAAACTTTCTTACATGCGGAATTACCATAAAACTTTCTTTTTACATGCCGTTGGTCACAGTCGTCATGAGCTGACTGCAAACATAGCACGGCGTCCTATTAGCTTCAAATTCTTTCCACGTCGTTACTCTGCTCGCTGCCTTTTTTCCTCCTTGTTTTCAGCTAAAAATACGCCGGTGGCTTTTCTTTTTTTCCTCTCATGACATCTGATTGGTGTGAAAGGGGGAAGATTATCTGGTGGAAAAGAGTTTGCTTGCTTGCTTACACCCATGCAGTTTGCTTTGCAGGGCCAAAATCCTGGTGGATTGAAGGAGCTTTGTGGTCTTTCTGGAACAAACAGGTGTTACTGATTGAAAGGGTAGCGTAGGAGATTATATAAAAACACGCTTAGCCAAAGTGTCTGGTTTTTAGGTTCTGCTGGAGAACGCTATCTTCTGATCTGTCAGCGGTTGAGAGAGTGATCCCACTGTCTCTGTGGATTTGTAGGGTTTATATATGTCATTATTTCTAATATGAATCTCAGGACTGTGCTGACACAGTCGGCCAGATTAGGACGGGATTCCAATGTTACTCCTAAGGGACATTAATGCGCATAAGATACTTAAGAATGATCAACAACCCCTCTCTCTTTCCAATCTCCTTCCACCTCAGGTTCATTGAATACGGCGAGTACAAAGGGAATTACTACGGGACAAGCTTAGACTCTGTACGCTCCGTCCTCTCCAAGGACAAAGTGTGCCTGTTGGACGTCCAGCCTCATGTGAGTGATACAAACCCTTCCTCTGCATCTCGTCATCCCACCATCCCTCACTCACCTGTATTTTTAGCCCCCCGGCACCTCGGCCTCTACCTATCTCGGAAGCAGATCTCTCTTCTCCGGCTTTTTCCCGAGGCCTTGGCTGCTTACTGGGTTACCAAAAGCAGGTTTTTAAAGGGGGCATTTTGAGGGAGCAATTACCGCTAATTTCCTCCATTTGAAGATTTCCTCTTTGGCTTATGTGTCTTGGGTGGTGGCGATCAGACCCTACACAAACGGCCGGCTTGTCACTGAGCCCCAACAAAACCCCTGAGCACAATTCCCATTAATCCAGGGCCGGGCCTGTATCTGCCGTCCAGCTTCTGCCCCATCAGCTCCTCTCTGTTTGTTTTCTCTCAGTGGATAATGACACACAGGCACAAATACACCATTATATAGATTAGCCTGGCACGCTCTCAAACCACCCTGGCCTGAGCAGCATTGAGACTGAGCCCAGAGCCCTGAGCTAAAGAGTGTGAGAACCCGTCAGTGGAAGCTTATGTGGGTGTATGTATATTTATTTATGTACTTTTTTGTTTTTTGTGAGCATTTGTGGCGTGCTGGTGTAAGCCAATAGTCATCCCCCTACCTCCACAATGAGCCCATTCCCCAACATGACTCATGGATAAGATCAGTGGCAGTGTCAAAGCATGTTATTGCTCCCACGTTGACTTACAGAGCAGCCACGATGAATGCTTCCCAGTGCTTCCTCTCCTGTCCCTTCCTTTTTGTTCATCTTCCTATCAGTTGTGGGTTTGCACCCACTGCCTATTAGCACAGTGAGAAGCCAGAGGCGGGACCAAAGCCTGACGCCACCGCTAACCAAATCTGACCTCTCTTTTACCCCTGGACGACCAGATTCTTGGTGTTATTTCATGCAATTGTCACCAGAAAGAGGAGAGAAGAAGAGCAGACAGAGGCTTGTCATTTGTTTCATCCACCGTTAAAACACGATAACCCCGTCATCACCAGATCTGACCTGTTAGTTGATAGTTTTTGCTTCTTGGTTTAATTTATATCCTTTTATTTTTTTGACAAACAGTCCAAGATAAAAAAAAGATTTACAATGAGATAAAACAGAGAAAAGCATCAAATCTTCACATTTGAAAAACGGGAACCAAAAAATGTTTGACATGTTTGCTGAAAATTTCAATAATGTATTGATTATCAACATAGTTGTCAGTTAATTTTGAACATCGTCCATGGCAACTGATCAGACTCAGTTTTTATGCCTCCACACCGGCGACAGCCAAGGCGTTTTCAGGTTTTCCCTCTATAACTCCCCTTCAAATTTGGCAGAAATGTCTACCTGGGCTCAAGGATGAACTGATTTGAATTTGGTGGTCAAAGGTCAAGGTTTAAGGTCACTGTGACCTCACAAAACACCTTTTCGGCCATAACTCATGAATTGCTACACTAATCAAGAAACAATTCAACAGAAATGTCCGTAAGGATAAAATGAAGTGATGACTTTTTATATCCAAATGGTCATGACCAACAACTGCAAGGCGTTAATTCTAGTTTTTTTCCAAGGTTCCTTCATTTAATGATCTTACAACCCCTGACATTTGTGACGCCTGGGGAGTTCCTAGCCCCCCCAAGCTGGAAACCCCTACATTAAGTTCACTCCTCATTTTTTTGACACCTCATGATTATGCCATTGATAAATGTACATTTAAATTACTTTCACATTCTTGTTTTATCACTGTCCTCCCCTCTTGTTGCTGGATGACAACACTTCACACTCTGCTCCTACATTCATATTTGTTCTCTTTTGTCTCCGTCCAGACGATAAAGCACCTACGGACGGCCGAGTTCAAACCCTTCGTGGTGTTTGTGAAGCCGCCGGCGATTGAGAGGTTGAGAGAGACCAGAAAGAACGCCAGGATCATATCGGGCAAGGACGACAAGGGATCGGCCAAACCGTTTACGGTAAGAGGATGTCTAGACGAGAGAAAGTTTACGTCTCACACAGAATCACATTGATTAACATAATATCTTGTTTAGAGAGATTTAAACTGCTCGAAGTACCAGATGGGTCAGGTTTGATTTGCTGCGCTATTCAGATTAGATTAAGTTAGATGAAAGTTTAATGAACCTTGCGAGGTAATTACAGCAGAAAATAACAGGATACAGCTAATAAGGGCTTCATTAAGTTAAGATTTAAATATTAAACATACAGCATAGACACAGACAACAAAGGGCTTCCAGACATGTGAAATACATTTATTTATTAAGTTTGTATTGACACCATGAGTGCACAGGGTGTAACCTTTTTGCGTTGGGTGAACACACTTGGAGTCTGATGATGAGATGGTGTTATACTGTAGAAACACATGGCTTTACACCTAACGGATTAGCAGCACAAGAAATAACAGAAACACTATCTGGACCCTGTGTGTACATGATGTGTGCGTGTGTGTGTGCGTGCGTGCGTGTGTGATGAGGTCATCCCTCCACACACCTTTATCCCAGCCCAGCGGGGACGCAGATGAAACCAATTAGCCGACGTTGTGTGCTCCTGTGAAGTTGACGGGTGGAGGAGTGGGGGAGTGGGTGGGAGAGGGGGAGTGAAGGTGGATGATGGTTTTCCCAGCCTCACCGGGTCCAGAGTTTGCTCGCTCGCGTGTCTGGATCACCACAAGCAACATTGAAGCTAAGGTCTTGGTCAGCGATACACCCGGGGTGGCCCGATATGACGCCAGCGGGGGGGGGGCTGAGAGAGAAAGACAAGGCCATCAAAGAGATGGAGACTGACTGACCGCAAGTCTGAGCTGAAGCTCGGCTGTGAGGAGGAGGGAAGTGCGGGAGCAGCAGAGGAGGCGACGGGGTGTGAACTGGGGTTTACAGGAACAGCAGGAGGACACCTGATGCACCTGATGTTTATTTATGTATGATTTATCTGTTTCTTTACTGAGGATATAAGGTGGACAGATAATAGTTTTTTTTACAATAATCCCCAGCGCTTACTCACGTCCTTCAGGCAAAAGGTCAGCCACAAGGCGCCACATACTGCACATACTAATCAGAGATCAGTGTTTTAGTTAACTGAAATGAACCTCCAGTTATCATATCAAGAGAATAGGTTTCCATAACAAAAATCCAAAAGCGTTTTACTGCTGCAAAGGTTTTCTTTACAATTTGACCTGTCAGGACGGTGAGCATCTTAAAGACCTCATGAAATCAGCACCTGTAGTTCCCAAAAAAAAAAAAAAAAACCTCCTGAAAAGCTTCAGTGTTGACCTCACGCTGCACCAAAGTGTCCCAACTATTAAAGTCACCACAAATTTTGGATCACTTGTGTCAAATCAAGCTGCCTTTCACTGCGTCACCTGTTGGTTTACACCGTGCTTCCAGCTAAGTGTAGCCGCTGGATTCAATTGATTTTGGCCTGCCCAGAGTCATCCTCCCCCTCAGAGAGTCAGCTCTCCTCCCTCAGATGCTCCCAGGAGCTGTCACATATAAAGTTCAGAGTGTGGCGAGATCTCAGTTGAAGGTCGACTGAGATTCATCACGTAGATATTTATTTCGCTGTCAAGCTTTTAAAACCTTAATGCAGACACAAAGTCAGCTTCTATTATTTCCTTGTTTCCCGGCAGGGGTCCAGAGCACAATGAGCTTCAGTTATCAGAAACAGGATGGCTGCTCACAATCCACCGCAGTTGTTGCTTTTATTGCTCACTGTCCCTTTATTAGCTTCTATATTCTCCCAAGTAATACAAACAAACCTCTATAAAACTGTGTGACATGGAGGCATATTTCAGCCAGGTAACAAACCAGGTTCTGTGTGGATGTACACTGACAGGACTTAAGCCACAACAGATTTGCTATTAAAGGCTCCGCAGAAGAAGCTGTTGTTGGGTGAGTCATCTCAGACAGATTCTATCCACCGCCAGCTGTTTTTCTCTCAGAGACAGGTCTGCTTTAATGATAAAGGCTGAGGAACAGTCGTCTCATTGTTTCAGCAGAGCGGGGCCGACTTTAGCCTCATTGTTTGAGCTGGAGACGGTTCAGAGTGGGTTTTCAAAAAGAGGAGCTGAAGCGCGATGCAGGAACAAGCAAAAACAGGCTGATGCAACACATAAATTAGGTGGTTGTGTCTAGAAAATGTCACATTATGTGAAATTACCACAATCATTCAAAAGTGATTTGTAAAGATCTGTTTGGTTTTCGACACTTATTTAAATAGAGAATACAGGTGTGTTTTACTGGCGTCAATAAATCAGATTTCTTACTGAGGATGTGGCGTGTGTGTGTGGTATTTTAAAAGATGATACCTGGGGCAGACACATGCTGTTTTGTGCCACTGAAGTGTTGAAAAGGTTTATAGTCCCATAAGGGGGATTTTTCCTTTTTAGACAGAATTTACAGTAAAACGGACACAGTAAAATCACAAATCTAATAAATTCAATAAAGAAAACAGTGAAAATACAAGCCGTAAAAACATTTCACTGACTCAAGCCTGTAGCAAAGGAGAAACATCAGTGGTAAAAACCAGACTTAGAGTCAGTGGCCTCATATTGTGCAATGAAATCTGCCATTTATCTGTGTTAGAGCGAAGTACTTAAACAGGCACAAGACACTACATCATTTCATGTGGAAATTAAGCAATCTAATGGCAGTGGGGATAAATGAGTCCCCGGTGCTTTACTTCTCATGTCTGGCCCTCCAGAAGTGGCATCAGCTCAAACTGCCCTCTGAGGAGAGCGATCCAGCACGGATCACTGGATGCCAAAGAATATCCACTCACTCCGACTTGCCCAGCTTTCCATTTGCCTCTTTTACCTTCATTATATTCATATTTTGCCATTTTTATTTCTCCCCACATCTATCTTAATATTTTTTTTTTAGTTTTCTGATTCTCTTTCCATCTCTCTGCCCAGCTCGCTGTCCCTTACGCAGCTTCCTGCTGTGATTAATGTTCTTTTACCTGGAATGGCCTGACGAGAGTCAGGCTCAGAGACTCGCTGCTGGACATGGAAAACAGCACACACACAAAGCAGCGCACACTCTTCCAGGTTCATTCAGCTGCCAGGACAGGTCAGAGGGGTTGTCTTGCTGGCTCCTGGACACAGTGGTCATCTTTAAGTCCTGGTCCAACAGTGGAAGTCCTGCGGGGGCTTCAGTCCACATGACAGAGACTATAGTCCCACAGTGGAACAGTTTCCGCCATAAGGCTTCCTGTCGTTGTCCTCCAAGATATGGGATGACAAAACCATCTCATGTTCCTCACAAAATGGCATGAGTGGGTTACTGCAAGGTAGATACATGCTCGACAGCCAGGCCAAAAAAAGCAGACAAGGCTTTTTTCTTAGTGTCACAGTGAATGAGTGCTTATATTTAGCTGCGCAGCTAATCCATTATGAAGCGGAAAACCACCAGAAACATTGTGAAGGAACTCCTGGCTGGAAGGAGCGTCTCCAAAAACTGAGCCGTTTAGGAGTTTTCAGCTTTAATAAGGCTGTGTTTATGTGCGTACACACATTGTACACACACACTCAGCTTGATCCTGCATGTTTGTGGGTGTGGGAGCATGTGTGTGCGTGTGTGTGTGAGTGTGTTTGTGTGTTTGAGTTTCTGCGCATGAATGTGCATCTGTGTGTATTTATAATTGTGTGTTTGGCAGAGGGATTCACTATAAAACCATATCTGTCCAGAAATCTAAAGTTGAGTGTTCCCAGTAAAAGCAGAGGCTAAATCAGTGCAGCCACTTCAGCCCTGCTGCTGCACCGAGAGCAGGAAGAGCCAGGGCCCACACAGCTGAAACCAGAAAGCCTCAGAGGGACCACCGCGGAGAGATACCTGGCCTCTTTCAGAACACTCTATCTATGAATACAGGAGCCCCAGATCGGCAATATTTACTCCCAGCCTGATAAAAATATGTTACTTGGCTGTTCCTCACAGTAAGCACATGGTTTTATTCTTTACACTGGACGTCTGATTTGCATACTCACTTGGAAAACTCTCCATCCCCTGGAGGACCCCCGGTTTAAGCCTCCATGTCAGCATACAAACATTTTATACAGCTCCCTAATCTCAGTCCTCATCCTCTTTTACCGGATGCTGCAGTACCTGAAGTGCACAACAAACACATTGAGGCACATTTATCTCACCTGTCAGCCATCGCCCTATTCAAGCCCAAGGATTCTCTAAGATACCAGGATATCCACATATCTCATAACATCAGTGAGGAGAATAATCTGTGAAACCAAGCCTTGCTGGACTTTACCAGCTATCCTTAGAGCCATGCTGTGAAGCCATTCAAAATTAGGACAGTCATGAAAAAAAAGCACTGATATTGTTTTATTTATTGTTTTATTTCCATTTCCAAACATAGTGCTTCATTGTCTCCGTCATCATCATACTATCTACACTAGAAGTGAATGGAAGATGGAGGATATACCTGTCAGATGAAACTGTGCTGTACCAGAGGTCTCAAGTCTTGGCTCTAAGGTTCTGAGCCGAGTCCCAAGTCACGTCAAAATTAAGTGAAAACATCACGTGCACCTTAGTTTGTTATTCCTGTGGCAAAATTACAACTGCTTATAATATCTGAGCCGAGGTATTAGCTTCTGTCTGTCTGCTGGTCTGCGCTGCCAAACACACCTGTCACACCTGGACTGTACATTTTTCACCTTTGGGCTCAATGCCAGTCGAAAGGCCAAAGTCAGAGAGTCGTCGGTGTGGAAGACAAAACTGAGCTGCAATGTGTTTTTTGATTTTGTCAAGTCTGAGATGATCTGATTCATGACTCGAGTCTTACGCCCGTGCTCCGCCCATTCAGGCACACGTGCAGACGAGATTATTGCCTCTTCCAGCTTTGAGAAATCTTTGCACACCTAAAGTTTGCCTGAGATTTCGGTTCCGACAGTGAAACAGCACTGTCCTTAAGCTGTCATCACCCTGTCACACATATAATATCCAGACTTGCAGCAACGTGCGTTTTACATGTCTGTCTTCTGTAAATTATGGTTATGTTTTTTTCCTCCGCTTATTTTGAGGATATTGTATTTTCTTTGTGAATTGGATAACTGTGTGTATTCTGCAGAGGAAATGATGAAAATTCCTTGAGGTCAGGTTGTTGTATGTAGAGGTTTCAGTGCATGGTCAGTGCCAGGGTTCATGTGTGGGTACTATGTCTCTGGGAGGTTATAACGGGCTCTGTGCGGGCCACTTTATGTTTATTTGCGTGTTCAAGGCTGTGTAATTTGTGTTTACAGTATATGAATTATCTCTCCTCTTGTTTACTGTGGCTGGTGCTTTCTCTTTCCTGCAGATGAACAGCCTCAAATGAACAGCTTTGTGCAAATATATCTCCTTTTTTGTCATATTCACCTCCATCTCTCTCTCTCCCCTCTGTTCTCACATGCCGTGCAGGAGGAGGACTTTCAGGAGATGGTGAGCACGGCCCAGTCGATGGAGACTCAGTACGGTCATCTGTTTGAGAAGGTCATAGTGAACGACGACCTCTCTGCGGCCTTCAGTGAGCTGCGGTTGGCATTAAAGAAAATTGAGACGGAAACTCACTGGGTTCCAGTCAGCTGGACTCACTCCTGAGACCCACACTTACTGTAAAAGGAGAAAAGGGAAGGGCTTTGAGAAAAATATGCAGGTTTTTATCTTTTTTATATCTGCTGCGGCTGGTGTTGAGGGGGTGGGTGGAGTAACGGGAATAAAACAAGACAGCGCCAGACTGCTGTGTCGCCATACCTGAGGTGCACAGAGCTAAAAATAATACGTTTTTGCCTGGGATCAGGTTGGATTTAGACCTCGGGCTGCGGTCTGGATGTGAATCTCCAGGTCTGACCAGATCTGACAGGGTTGAGGCTGAGGGCGTCCGTCCAGAATATGGGTCTTGGATATGGAACTGGGTCTCAGTCTGGGTCACACAACCATGGCCACGAGCTGGAGCTCTTTGGTCCAAAACCAGAATGTGGAACGAGCCTGGACCATCGTAGCGCCAGCAGTCCTGCCAGCACATGAGCAACCCGCCAACCAGGACCCCTTCTTTATGGCGTTTGTAACATTAGACCATTAGAAACCAAAGGGATTGACATATTTCTTCTTGGTGGACAACTTACATGTATATGTCTGTGAGAGAAACAACCTCTGAGGGGAAAAATGAGAGGAAAGAAAACATACTTGCCATCTGTCTTACTATATTTCTGTGCTTCTAAAATGCTTCCATGACTGTTGCTCCAAACAAAACATTGTCAGGTACACTTTCAAGTAAGGGCAATAAGTGTAATTTTATTTAAGAGAAATTAATATATTTTCTATTATCTTTCAGTTGTTTTTTTTGCATACCTTTTTATATACATATCTTGACTTTTAGAGAAACTTGTTCTTAACTGTCGCCTCTTCTCTGACAGCTTTTCACATTCGAGGCATCTCTTCTTTCACTCAAGTGTTTTGATTTCATCACCCTAGTCTAGTTTTTCCCCCTACAAAGCACATAAAGAGCTGTTTTATTTAGGTGTTATATATTTCCATTTAGGAGCATTTTGAAAAGCCACTCTTCATATGAAGGTGCCCAGCATAACAGCTTTGCCATTTAAAGTCCCAGAACTGGACACTCTTGGCTGTCTGCTAGAAGAAAATGTTCACAATTCTGTTTTATTAGGGTGGAGGCTTTATTTTTATTCACATAAAAGTGGCTTCAGCGCGGCTGCTAATAGTGGGGTCCATAGCCCACGTCCAGGATTTTAATTTAGAGAAATGCTAAGCAGCCGCTCCTGAATTTATGAGCATTAGAAGTATATTACTAATTTGAGTCTCCCATTCCCAGTCTAATTTACTCAGTGCTTTTCTTTTTTAAACTTCTATCATTGCAATACTAAACTCTGATTTCTAGGAGACTGATTTTAAAAGCAGCTAGTCATTAATTAATCATGGCTCTATCATTATCATTAACATTGTTACAGCCTTTGTAGATCTTTGCTGCTAATGTAATGAAACTCTGTTGAAGAGTTTTTACAGATTATAAGCGCAACATTTTGGAAGAACATGTCTACGCATACATAAGTACGATGCTGTAGAGCCATGTGGTGGCTAGTTTAGCTTAGCATGACTGGCAGCAGGGGGAAACAGCTAGCCTGATTCCTCAAAATTAAAAACTACACCCACTAGTGCATCTAAAGTTGTGATTTTATGAACTTCTTTCTGTGTATGTGTATCTATATGTGTTAATTTGCAAGCTTTAAATTGTGTCCAGTATTTATGCTAAGCTAAGCTATTCACCTCTTGGCTCTAGCTCCGTACTTAACATATAGGCATAAGTAGGCAAGTAAACTAATTTCCCTCAATGTCAAACAATTCCAATAAACGTACAGTTTTTTTACTTTCTAAAATTGTCTTTTATACTGGCTGTACAGCAGCTGTATGTCCACCACAAGTTGCAAATTCATCATCGTTTATGATGATGCATTTATTTAACCTTCTAACAACAACTATGATATTTATATATTTGATTTCTGTCAATTTTAAAAAAGGATAATTTGAGTATGTATGCTGTTCAGTAAAGATAACATACATTTTAAAAGGGATTTTAACACACAGGGCCCCAAGTTTTCTAATTTTTTTTTTGTTTTGTTTTGTTTTAATCTCACATTAAGATTTTTACTTGTTCATCTCTTCATATATGACCCCTCTGCAATCTGTTTAATTCATCCAAATCATATTTGTACATTCTCCAGAAAATTATTTTAATTTCTTGCTGTAAATGAGATGCTGTTTATGAGGCAAAGCGTTTGAATTTACATTATTCTTGATAACTGCTGCATTTTATATTAAAGGAGATCCAACTAAACTTCTATTTCCAAGGTATTGATTTAAATCATGTCTTTAAACTGGGCAGAGAGCAATCAACAATGATGTGTGAGATGGAAAAGGATCAGAAAAATTTTCAGCAGCAAAAAACTCTTTTGTCATCATCACAAACTTCTTGAATCTGCAAAAGAAAATGCTAATTAATATGGTTTAAATGCACTTTTAGCTGTTACCCGGAAATCCAGGTGGAGTATGATCGTAAAATAGATTTGTTGGACCAAAATGGGCCTGAATGCAGTGACTGCTGAAACCACCAGAGCAGTGCAGCCCAATTAAATCCCAGTGTCCTGCTGCAGCTGTGTACCAAATTGCTAACTCAGATGTCACTGGACCTTTGAAAACAGTAGTTCTGTGAAGGGGTGGGGTCCGCTGGGCTGATAAAAGTTGGCTCTTGAGCCTCCGACCAGCAACCCACCGGAGGATTCNAAAATGCTAATTAATATGGTTTAAATGCACTTTTAGCTGTTACCCGGAAATCCAGGTGGAGTATGATCGTAAAATAGATTTGTTGGACCAAAATGGGCCTGAATGCAGTGACTGCTGAAACCACCAGAGCAGTGCAGCCCAATTAAATCCCAGTGTCCTGCTGCAGCTGTGTACCAAATTGCTAACTCAGATGTCACTGGACCTTTGAAAACAGTAGTTCTGTGAAGGGGTGGGGTCCGCTGGGCTGATAAAAGTTGGCTCTTGAGCCTCCGACCAGCAACCCACCGGAGGATTCGGCAGGCCTCCGCTTGATGAAGTTCCAAAAAAAAAAAAAAAAAAAAAAAAATCCCCCAACCGATTCAAATCAGGTCGCCTAACCTTCACATTTCCTCTTTTCCACAGTGCTCACTTTGATGGCTGTGTGGAGCAGGGGAGGCAGGGTTTACAGCCAAGGCGGATGCAGTGAGGTTGGAGGAGGAGGTGGCAGAAAAGGTCAGGAGGAGGTAATGGCACTCACTCAGGCTGAAGAGAGGAACCATCTATTCCATGCCTTTGTCTCGCCCTGTCTTTCTGCTTAATTAGGATAACAGAGTAACGGGGGGAGACTCAGGGGCTGCCAGCTTTACATACAGGAACACTGTGCTGGCCCACTGTGCCCTCTGAGCTAAGGCAAGCTGAGAGAGCGAGTAAGTGAGTGAGCAATGTTTTCCCCTTCCAAAAGCCATCAAGCTCAATGGTCCATGTTTAACACAAGACAAACGCCACCTTGCATTGTCCCAGGGAGTTCAGTATTGGAGGGAATGCTTGGACAGTGACATACTGGAGGTTCTAAGTGAGTGTGAATTGACCCCATTTTCTTTCACACTGCAATACAAAAGGTAGACCAGTTGCTCAGGACCTCCTTAACATTTTCTCTCACGGGTAAAGGTGTCCTCATCTCAGACTTGAAGGAGCCAACCTAGCTGCTGCCACCTTTTCCATCTTCAGTTTTTAGTCTTTCCTGTGGTCTTGTTTCACTCCACAGTTCTACTTGTCTTTACTAAGCTACTATCTCATCTGCTGAAGGCTGTTCCTTGCGTTTCAAAGGTGTTGAGCTGTTGTTTTGATAGCACTCCAGTTGCCCTACAGGTGCGAGATACTCCCTGAACTCCCAGGACCGTTTTATATCGTAACATATGACCAGCGCCTGATGCAGCATCATCGAAGGTAGTGACAGACATACTGTTTTGCTTCTCGGGGTCCTTGACGTGTCATCATCCTGCACCTTCAGGAGCCCACGCCATTGGTAGAGTAATGAGTGTTGCATCAGCCTGAATGCTGTGCTTTATTTGCTTTTAACTGAGCAAGACAGAAATGTGTTCACAGATTAGGTTTTCCCCTGACATGGATAACAAAGGGCCAGGGATCAGCCACATATGCAAAGGTACTTTAGATGAGTGATGATGTAATACTGAAAAATATTGTCTGTGTAGATTTGGGTTGGTGTATGTGATGAAGAATCGGCAGTAAATGGCGTTGCCCTACAGTAAGTTGTAGCAAAGAGAGAGACACTTTCATAAATCTTCATATAGTTGTATAAAAGTCTGGCTGCAGCCCCTGCCTGATTTAAGATAACAAATCTCCGTCTTCCTCTTTATTCATCTTTCTCCATCATTCCTTGAGGAGTGAGCTGCCATGTGAGTAAAGGCCAAAGCGATGGTTTCCCCAGCTCCAACATGAACGCCGACATTGACCAAATCAAAGACTTGCTCTCCATCTATTCCCTTTTTGGTCTGACGATTATAATCGTTTAACAGGACGCGTTTGGAATCTGAGGATTTATAGTAAGTAAGGTTCAGCTTTTATCTCAGATCCCGAAGATTAATGTTGCCCCTGTTGCACTGCAGTAAGGTCTCATGAATTGCTTTCCTTCTTGCCCTTGTGATGTATTTATTTTCATGTCCATAAATCCATGCATTAAGTGAACCCATTGTCTAGCAAATCAGGGCCAGAGCCAGACAAGCAGGGCAGAGGCAGGGGGAGAATTGGGCTGAGCAGTCAGACAAGGGGGGATTAAGTTGTGGAAAAGTCAGGAAGCCTGTCCTGTCCCAAGCCCAGCGACATGTCATACAATGTCCCCCGACGCATTTCGGAAACCATTAAAGCTAAACGTCTGTGTCTCGCGTTACGATATACACTGCAATCATTTTGATTTACTACGTTAAAATTACAGCGTCAGGGCCAATATCCTGAACGGGGCTCAACGTGATAAGTCCTGCCTTTGTAACATGACAAATTGTACATCATGAACGTCAGAAGTGGGCACGCTGGGTAAGAAGGAGGGGGACCTAGACTCCTGCTGAGTTTTCTCATCTTTTTCTTGAATGAGCCTTTCTTTCTGAGTCTCTCGCTTCTCTTTCTCCAGCATTCCTCTGCCCTGCCTTTGCCTAGTCTTTCATGTGGTGACTCAGTCCATCACCGTGGCTTTACCGTAGGAGCCAGCCAGCGATGCCGCTCTGTTTTCCTCATCCTGGGGTAAATGCCCTTGACCGTAGGGAGACTATACTGTAGACTAATAGGGCTTCAGGCCAGGAGCTTCCGCCCACCCTGTCTCCTTGGCCTAATTAGCCTCAACATTACCTCATGTCTGTACGCAAAAGGTCTTCAGGGCATGTTACCTTGAGCTGTATTTCTCAATTACAGGACTTTAAGAGTGGGAGGGTAGGTGAGTGAGAAATTTACAGGGGATGCCCTTCGTTCCTCCCCCGGCCTGAGAACACCTTTTCACGCTGATGAGAATATGTGGAAATCATAACAACACGTTCAGTCTAATAGCCGTAGCGCAGTTGGTCATTAATGCAGGGTGGCGTATTTATACACTGTCTGCCGGGGCTGTTCAGGTTAACTCTGCTCTGTGTGTACATTTGTAAATGAGTCCAAGGGGTAAAAGTTCATCTGGAGGGTCCTGTGCATTGAAAATTCCTCTGACACATGTGGAGCTAAAGCAGGGTACAGGGGCCGAGGTTGCACAAAGGCACTGACTATGTTAGAGGAGTATGGAGCTGTCCACCTGTATTTTCTTAAACTTTCCCTGCGGCCTTCCCCTGAGCCTTGTTGGCCTCTATTGAAGCAGTTTTAATTACACAGATCTGAACTGTCATCCTTAAAGCTAGAGCACTCTGGAGGTCAGGACCTTCCTCGAGTGTGCTACAAATTCATCTCAAAACTGCCGTGAGTTCCCCTTGTTAGGGGTGAGTGAGTACCGACGAAAGGCAAAAAATATCACCTGCATTCCAAATGTGTCTGTTTTCATTGCAATGAGGCATTCTTTTAATAGTCTGTATTGTCCTGATATGTTTCCAGCGGCGCTGTCAGTTGAACAAGTTCATGCAACTTTGTAAAATCCAATACATGCAAATGTAAGTAGCAAAACAGTGTTTCTCCACCTTCCAACCATACACCACTCAAATGGAATGTAGCAGTGCGTCCAGCTGGGGTATGAGAGCCCAGCAGCAGTAGCCATGCTGACCCGGTGTAATGACGGTAAGTGGATTACAAGGAGGCCCTGGTCACTGGTCATTAATATTGAGTCCGCTAGAGTTACCTCCATGTGGCAGCAGCTACACCACAGGGACGGAGCCCAGACCTCCAAGATACGTAAGCAGCTTGTTGCTCTGCGCTGGGCTTCAGATGAGCTGAGACTGAAAGGGGCCGCAGAAAGATCTAGAGAGATCAGTTTATGTTTTTGGCTGAATAACTGATTGTGAGACCAAAATCTCCCCACTGACAGCTTTATATTTTTCATCAGGTTAGTGGCATATTTATGTTTTACATTATAAAAAAATCTTCTAACATAACAGTGCAGTATATATAAATAAACACAGCTTTTTAATGTGCTTTGTTGTAGGTACATGTAGGTAACTGTACTTTTACACTGACCAAGTAATAATAGCAATGTGCTGCTTTGTTTTTAGCAAACCTTGAGATTTGTATGAGGTAACCACAGCATTGATAAAAAAATATTATTAATAAGAAAATTAAACACTAGCAGAGATTCATAGTGTGATGATGTTTCCTGGTGAAAACACAGGTACAATATACTGTATGAGCAGCTCCTATAAGCTCTGGCTCATGTGGTAGAGTGGGGTGTCGACTGATGGCGGGTTTCTTGGTTCGATCCCCAGCTCCTCCTGTCCACATGATGTGTCCTTGGGTAAGACTCTGAACCCAGAGTTGCCTCACCTGTAAGTCGGTTTGGATAAAAGCGTCTGCCAAATGAGTAAATGTAGTGTCTTTTTCCAAGTCTTGGTGTCACTAGCCTTTAAAACAACACAATCTCCCTGTGAAATCTGAAGTAAACTAACTCCACAAGGATCAAACCGCTGACCATCAGCTAACTATCCTGGCAGTGCTGATCTTTTAGGGAACAGAGGCAAAACAGGGGAAGCTAATGAAGCTTATTGGCTTTCATTGAACCCTCATTTGTTGGAGTATGAACTGCTCCACAAAAGACATCAGACAGAAGTTGATTGTATAAGGTTGCTAACTGACAGTGAGT